TTGTGGAGTTCCAAAAGAAGGATAGCTTGAAGCACAAGGGCAAGAAGCCATTCCAAGGCAAAGGTGGGGGAGACAAGGGGAAATCTTCCACACCCGCTAAATCGGTAGCCGACTCTTCAAAGCCGTCTTTGAGCAAGGAGTCCAAGGGGGACAAGCCGAAGAAGTTTCAAGGGTGTTTCTTGTGCAGGGGAGCGCACATGGCATCTGATTGCCCATCCCGTTTAAAGCTGATAGCCCTAGCCCAAGGGTTATGCCAAGAGTAGGAGAAAAAGGCCGCTTGCATGAAATTGCTAGACGCCGTGCATTCTAAGGCCGCGACTTGTCAAGTCCATCTTTCCGTCTTTACATGGAGGCATCGTTCCCAAACGGGTCTAGATGAGGGATGCTAGACATCAGAGCCAACACTAGCCACCTCACCGAAGGTGTAGCCCGTTCTCTTGGAGTCATGTAGACGCCTAGCAATGGCCATTTCAAGGGAGTAAACGGGGAATAGACGGGTCTTGTGGGCGAAGCATGGGACGTGCAACTCTAAATCGGCACTTGGTTAGGTATGGGTAATTTCTCCATTACACCTATGGATGATGACATTCTTCTGTTTGGCATTGAGTTTTTAGACCAAGTGAAGCCGATCATCGTGTCTAGCAACGACACAATGGTGATCCTTCAAGGCGAGAAGCCTTGTGCGGTGAAGTTTAGGCTGATGAACGAGATTAGCCCTTCCCATCTAAACAAGGGGCTAAAACGTGGTGAGCACACCTTTGCTGCCATGGTTTTTGAGGAGGAACCATGCACGGAGGAGCCGACAAAGGAGTAATGGATGCCGCAACACATAGAATCGGTCCTTGTTGAGTTCAAGGATGTCATGCTTGACAAATTGCCCAAGGGTCTTCCACCAAGGCGAGAGATTGATCATGCCATCGAGTTGGTTGATCGGGCGAAACGGGTAGCAAAAGTGCCTTACCGAATGTCTCCTAGCGAGCTGGAGGAGCTCAAAGTGCAAATCAAGGAGCTGCTTGAATCGGGCCATGCACGGCCGTCCAAGAGTCCTTGGGGTGCATTGACCTAGTTCGAGCGCAAGGAGGATGGAACACTTCGGTTATGCATCAGCTATCAGGCTTCGAATAAGCTAACTGTGAAGAACAAGTACCTAATCCCACACACAGAAAACTTGTTTGATCAGTTACAACGAGAAAGGATCTTCTCCTAGCTGGACTTGCGGAAGGGATACTATCAAGTATGCATAGTTCCCGGTGATGAACCAAAAAGGCCATGGTGACGAGGTATGGCTCTTATGAGTTTCTTGTTATGTCGTTTGGTCTAACTAATACCCCAGCCACGTTTCGCACTTTGATACAATGTGTGCTAGTTGATTTCATTGATAAGTTTGTTGTAGTATTGTTTCCATTTGTTTTTTTGAATGTATGTACAGAGAAATGACGTGCAAACTTAATAATCATAGTGACTGACATGGCATGTACAGGTCATAAGACACTAAATATCAATTTCTTTGAGTATCTAGAAATCTTCTGCCATGTGTTTCAGTATCTATCATGTCAGTAACTTATGAAACTCTATTTTGATTTTTCACTCTGGATCAATGGTTTCTTTGGTATCAATGTTGTAAATTCTTACAATCTCCTCTGTTCAGATTCGTTGTGTGGTATATATTCGAATTCCGGCGCTACCTTTGGATTACTTCCATGAGGATATACTAAAAAATATTGTGAAAGGAATTGGGAGATTTATGAAAGCTGATTGTGATACTCTAGAAGTCAAAAGGGGAAAATATGCTAGAATTGCCATTGAGGTGGATTTATCAAAAACCTTGATTGGCATGGTTGATGTTGATGATGTCTGCTACAAAATTGAATATGAGGATTTACATCTGATATGCTTCTCTTACGGTAAATATGGGCATAAAGCAGATGGGTGTCCTACTCTTCCGACGGAGAAGGCACAAGAAGAAATCATAGATAAGAGTAGAGTTCCAGTCACCGAGCAATCTAATGAATCATTGGATCAAAAATAAACCAATGGATATCACCAACGTCTCCTAACCGATTCCGACCGCTATGGACACCGCCCCAATCCAACGTCCGGCCGATGTTGGCGAGTGGATGCAAGCGCCGAGGAGGTCAAGAAGATTTCCACCGAATAATGGACCATTGGAATCTGACAGAAGAACCCATGAAGTGACAAATCGTTTTGCATCTCTGTCAAGGAAAGAGACAAAGGGTGACTCAATTACGATGGAAGAAATGCCTAATAAATTAAATAAGTCTAGCAACACTTACCGGGCTGGACTGGCAGTAGGGCTTACAACCTCTATGGCAAATCAAACACACCATCTAGCCCATCCAGTACAAGTTCTGGTTGGAAGAGGAAGAAAGCTGCTCTAGCCCAAAATCTATATGGGCCAAAAGAGATAACCCCAAGAAATCCCAAGAAGTTAACAATCCATAAGAAAATGACAAACATGCCTCACCCCAAATAGGGAAGCAGCCTAAAGTGACGTATCAAAAGCAAAATGAAGCATATGATGCCCAAGAGAATCCACCCGAGTGCAACGAACCCGTTTCGACTGTGGTTGAACATACCACAAGTGGCACTCATACGGTGGTTCACCGGGGGCTCTCTCTTAAATCCAAAGGGAGCTCTTCCAGTTACTCATCAAATTTAGGAAAACCTCAATCAAAACAATTTCATGTGAAATCAAAATTGAAATTTTAGGGGATAACAACCTCTTTTTGAGAACTAGGCGACTCTATTAAAATGAGTAGTTGATGTTATGCGTGATTTTTATGTCAAACCCTCTATGGGATAAGGATTTCGTAGGTAGAAGTGTGTCAAAATGCCCAAGTAAGCTGGGATTCTTTTGTAATCAAGCACATTGTGCTTCCTTAGTATTTAAAAAAAAAAAAAAAATTCTCGATTCTGAAATCGATACTCATGCACCAATATTGAATGACAAATGTGACCATGCACCAAAGTTTTCACCATTCTTTTTTTTAAGGGATCAATAGTGGTTCCCCACTTACCCCATGCGTGACTCGAACCCGTGACCTATTGGTCAATAGATGAGACGTCTTACTAATAAACTGCATCTCGTCGTCATATTCGCAACATTTTACATATCGATAAAATTTCAGTTCACAGCATTGATCCTTTTACATACACAAATTTCCCCCTCAAACAGTCACGATGTGACGTTTGCTGAGCGGTGAAGGTAAGCGCTAATAAGACTTTGACTTGTGAGAAGACAGAAATCCTACTTACTTAACGTAAGAAGATGTCGGACTCTGCTGGTCGACTCTTGTCAGGGAGAAATTTCCTCTCAAAAACAATTTAGCCTTGCACTACTCCAGCTGGATTGTACTACAGTGCTTGATTGACCTTTTCTGCTTTCAAACTTGTTAGCCTTAGAGCCTTCCAATAGCTAATCTCTTAGCCTTGAGGAGCACCCAGTCCAGTCTTTAAATCATAAAATGAAATCAATAATTTAACTTGAACCAATGAATTCTAGGGTTTAGCATCTATAAGTCTTTCCATCGAAGTATTCAACTCTTAAGCCACTGACAAAGCCTTAGTAGTCGTCTCCGTCTTCAACTCAAGATGGGAGCAATAGTCCTGACTCCGAAGCTGCTGTGGTACCTGCTTGTCCTGTAAGGGAGGCCTATACGAATGTTCAGTCTGTCTAAAATTCATACTAGGAATGGAGACCTATAGCTACGATTTGTTCGTATCGGAAAGAGCTGCCAAGAGACTTGATCTTAAGGAGGACTCCGGGTCTATGTCCCGCTGACCGAAAGAAAAGACACCATGTCTGCATTCGAACGCATTACCTTCTATGTTGTGAATTCACTCATCCCAAGACAAGGGTCCGAAGGAGCTGAGCGGTAGAGTTGCGTTCTTCTATGCAAAAGGAAGACTTAGAAAAAACAAAAAAGTTTGGAACCATATCCAGGTCCACAAAGGTCGTGATTAATTTCAACGCTATACCATACAATAGTCCCCGGTACCAAGCACAATTTCAATATAAAGTCCATTGAGATGACAATTTTTATGTCGAGTGTGATGACCTCTATTGGCTATGTACATATTGATGTCTATAGTAAGAAGCATATTACTGTACTTAAATCCAAAAGCATTAACATCACTTTCCTTTCCTCGAATTGACTACTCCAACAGAGTGCCACAACACCTATGGCATTAAAATTTCCAACTCAAACAACAACAGCATCAAAGAAGGTGATTGGTGCCAGAGAATTGCATCGCATTGCTTTCCAGTAGCAAAAACATTGACACTAATCAAATTGTAGACCTAGACATGGGATAAGAATGGTGGTATTGGACAAGGAAAGTCGAGACTACCGGTAAATGGATCAATGTTGTAAATCATACTTTCATCTATACAAAATGGTGGGACAATTAAATGTGGTCAAATTTTCAAGATGTCACAGTGGAGATTGGAGAATGTTAACGACCCTATTTTGGTTGATCAAGACTATTATCGTCTGTGTGAGAGGTGTAAGGTATGACATACTTCTAATTTGGGTAGAGCATGGGCAATGGAAAGTACTACTAATACCGTACATAGACTAATGATTTGTTGGTTAAGCCACTAAGGTTTCCTTTTTGTATTAGGCAAACAACAATGTTTAATACGCAGCAAAGCAAAAAAAGATCCTGGCTTCTATACATCTGAGCTGACACCTTAACGAATACTATCCTCTTTCTCTTCCAAAATGATCAATCTAACTTCACAATTCTCTAAAGATTTGAATCTCTCTAACTAAACATATTATCCATCAAGGGGAACCATCACTGCCATATCAAACAGGAATATTTAAGATTCTCCTTACCTCCCCGAACAAACAGGAGGGAGGGGGGTGTGCGGGGAAAGGGAAAAATCAGATCCACCCTGTGTTAAAACGCCAAACGCAACTACCTAGTCTCCATTCCAGAAAAAACACTATTCGATGAATGTATCATGAAATGGAGCCCTTTCTCCATGATTAATTGCAGGGGAAAAGATATAAATAATGAAAGTCATTAACAGTTTTTTCACTTAGCGGTGATCAAAACTTGGTCACAACAATGTAACTTCAGTAGAAATAGAAAGTGACCATCCCTTTGACAAGATTACAGTAAGCAAGAACAGGATTAAGCCAGTAGTTACTAACCATCAAATCCATTTTTCCAATTTAACAGTATGAAGCGAATGGCAAAGCTTCAAAAAGTATTGCTTTCCATTGTATATTCAGCAAGCATTATATTAAATCTGGAACAAATAGGCTAACAGAAAGGAGAACTTACGCTGAGTAAAAGTTATGTGATATATTTTACACACGAAAGCTTTGCCTCAACAATTCCATATTACAGATTATATATAGTCGATGTCACCTAATAATTAAGGTAGTTTTTGCTTGAAATCTGCTTGCCTTCAAGATATGAGCTGCTTCATGACCTATGAAGCTCCAGAGACCTGTAACCGTAACTATCATAAGACGCTACGCATCTTTTCGAAAACAAATACAACAGGTAAACCAGAAATAAAGATAGTAATATTCGAAAAATGATTACTACATCAATTGGAACAATTGGTATCACACTACCACTAGCACACATCAAATTCAGAGGGTACAAAGAATACACGGTACAAAAGCATAGATGATGTGAGCTTTGACTGCAATCTCTATCTACTTCTGTCTTTCCTTTTCTTTGACTTCACGTTTGTTTTGGAAACTACCACCGGCACTTTTTCCCCATCAGTTGCAACTTTATCCACTGCATAGACTTCACCCGTTTCTTTGATAGCTTTTCTTTTCTTAGTGTTACTGGGACATCAGGTTGCATATACCAAACGACAAGGTGTCAATAACAAACATGAGGAGAATCAGTTAGTTAAGAAAACCAAATGACATGTTCCTTCAGGCAAACTCATTTTTAATCAGATATAAAGAATTTTAGGTCCAAACCTTTCGGATTGTGACAGTTCTTCAACATGTTTCTCCAACCATTTGACACATCCAGTATGAACAGGAAGCAACGATCCGGATATGTGAATTATCTCTTCATCAAAACTGCAGAAGAAGCCCCATGAAGTTAAAACTAACTAAAACAGTCTCATACAAATGACTGTGACTTAACTTTTTACCTCTGTAAAAATGATCTAAGGTGATTTAAGTGCTCATTATTCTATATTATAGACTCACTGACACCCTTAAAGAGCTACGAAAAGATATGTGCCTATTGGCTAGCTGAAAAGGGAAGGTTGGAAAGGCTCTTTTTTGAGAAATAAGATGCAGATTCCCCAAACCCACCATAGATTTCCATCCTCAGAACAGTCTATACAAACAAATTTTTACCATACATCAATACTAATGAAAGTAAGAACTAAATCCTACCGACACCTGATTCACAGATGAACCATACATAATCAAGTGTTCAGACATTAACTGAACCATATACAATCCAGCAACTTCTAATCCTGTATATGTACAAATATATCCTGACATCCATTCCCTTCCATCCATCAAGAAGTAAATATTTTAGGGAACATTAAATTCCTGGATTATGAGACATTACTACATTTATATACAGGCTCAACCTTTACAGGAAAATAACATGCCAGTCCAAAAGGATAAAAAGATCAAAGCACTTCACCTTTTAACTACAAAGCGCATGATAGTTCCAACTCTAATTCTGTGTTTCCGATGAACAGTGCTTTTAAAAACCTCCTTGCCGTGTTTCTGCACAGAACAGTTTAATGTACTGAATTAAAAAAATGGCCCATGGATAATGAAACAAGTATATCCTAAAATATTTAATTGGTTGGAGTGCTCACAGCTTTATACCGAAATTCTTCGCGAATGTCTGAATCCATTATAATAGCTGACGAGAAACCAAGAACGATAAGATGGATAGCTGATTCAGTGACTTTTACTACTTCTCCCTCTGCAACATAGCAATAACACAAACTATTAATCAGTGATTCATTTTAAGCAACAACAACCAACTGCCATATGATACCACACAGAGTAACAGTTGACCACATTGAGAGAAAACAGAACAAATGCTTATGATTACAAGCGTAATTCATGTTTTTCCAAATAGAAACAGAAGCATAATTCATGTTTTTTTTCGAATAAAAACAGATTACCAACGATCATATCCGGCTTTGGATGAAAAAGTAATAGTTCCGACTGTATGCTGACCCCCAGATAAGGATGTAAACCGGGCAAAATCTTGGCTAAATAGCTTTGCACATTTGGCTCATAAGCCAGTACAACTCCATCAAAGGTTTCATTGAACCTGATACAAACATTAAACAGACAGGAATTCATCAATAATGAACTAGACTTTGAAAAATCACCCTCTCAAAAGTGCTAGAACATCACTAATCCTCCATGAAAAAACTACTAATAAACATAAAAAGAATTCTTCAAACAATAACAGTGACTCACTTGAAGAGTAAAGAGTTGAGTTCAACCAATATTGCATCAGAAATAATTTTGGACTTGGATGGGTGTATGTAGACCAGCAAATTAGCCAGCGCCAGCTTCAATCCCTCCATTGATACAACCCCAAAGTCTGTGGAGCAGAATTAAATCACAAATATATTATTATTAACTATTAAATTTACACGATAACTACACTCTTTGCAAAGAGTCAATATCAAAATATATATATTAAACTACAATAAACAGAGGGATTTCATAAAAGAATTCAGAGAAAAATGTCCAAAAGTAAAGCGAAACAAGCCTCTCAAAACAGTAGCTCAAACCATGTTTTTCTGACGGAGTTTCAGATTTTCAGCATCAACTTCAAACTCAATTTTTGAACAAACCCGAACTCCTTTTAATAATCCGTAAAAACTCATTTATAATACATTGAATGAAGAAGAGTTTTCCAAAAAGAAATTCTGAAAAAGAATCAAAGACCAAAGAGAAATAAGCATTTCAACAGAAGGGTTCTGGTCAGGTTTTCTGCATTTTTCAGCAGGGACAATGTCATCTTCAAATTGAGTTTCCGGGCAAACCACAACTCGGATTTGCATTCCGTAAAAACTGAATTAAACCATGTTAAATGAAGAAGATGTTCATATAAAGAAATCCTAAAAAGAAGCTAAGGAGCTGGGAGAAAAAGGGCTGACAACAGTGGGTTGCAGTTCTGATTTTTCTGCACTTTTTCAGCAATAACAGGTTGTGTTCATTTCAGATTTCCGGACAAATTAGAAGTCCGTTTCAGAATCCGTAAAAACCAAATCGAAGTACACTGAATGAAGAGCAGTTTCATAAAAAGAAAATTTGAAAAAGAGTTCAAGACCTAGGAGATACAGGCCTGACAACAGAGGAACTGAAATCTGATTTTCCGCATGTCTGAAAATAAAACCAGCAACATACATCGTTTGGACCAGTATTTTAAAAGATCCATCAGGATATTTCACAAACCACAAAAGTGGAACAAACCTTGATAACTTGGGAAGAGTTCGGTTCAAAATATGAACAGAGAAAGAACTTAAACCAGGATTTTCCAACTCATGCACTCAATCACAACAACAAAAACAGTAACAGCATCCCTGCCATCACTTTTATTTTTTTAGACTAATTCTGAAATCAAGTTAGCAAGACCTACAACCGCATCAGTAGTCAATAAGATTGATACTTTAAACATGCACAACAATCAGAAGTAGCAACTCCCTTTCATATGATCAAATCTCTCGGCCATAGGCCTTTCATTCCTAGATCTTTTCTATTATGATTAACAAGAAACAAATATATTATTAAACCATAGTAAACATGAAATCATGCAAAGCACAAAGAAAAAAATCAACAAGGGTCAATATTCTTCAACCAAAATCAATTCGAAGTCAAGCTCGCCACCAAATTCGAATTTCCAATTGTCACTATTAAACATCTTTTAATCCCACTGTTGAACCCAAGAGTGTAAACTAGTTCCCAGCTACGAGGATTAGGGGTTAGATTCCAATTACCTTAATCTCCTTTTTGGTTTAATCTCGAGCTCTCCTCCCCTCCTCTCCTGGTAGCCCTTTCTCGAGTCCTCCTTTCTTTCCTAGCCCAATCGACTAAGTCCCGAGCTTCCTTTCTCTTGCTAGTTTGTTCATTTAAATAGCTATCTAACTTAGAGAAGGTTGGTGGTGTGTGCAAGGGGAGAATAAGAATTCGGCAGTAGGATGGTGGTGGCCGTGAAAGAGGAGGGAGAAGTGGGTGGTGGGAGAATTGTAGAAGATGAGGACGATGAACGGGCTTCTGGAGTTTTTTTCTAGTGTAGGAAATAATAATAATAAGAATTTAGTTGTAGTAAATGGTTATCCTTTTCCTTAAGTCGGTGTGGCAAAGTGCTTTTAAGATAGAAAAAATAAATAAATAAATAAATCACATCTATACTTTCAGGTTAGTTTAGAAGAAACTCCAGAAAGTACATTTTGGGTCCCAAAAATGTGGTTACTCAAATCCGATAAATGTAAATTAATTTTGAACTTTCTCTTAGTCAATGCTTGAGGCTTTGTTTATTAAAGACATGAGTTGATAAATCAAATGGATTGATTTCAATTCTAGTATATGAATATAGTTTAGCAAAATAATTCCTAAAAATTATAAATGGCTATGCTATTATCGACATCAAACACAATGAAAATTTAGTGTCGTCACAACCTTTCCCCCTTAAGGAATTTCGTCCTCTAAATTCAAATGGACAGGTTATATTTCTTGATTCCTACATCATTTTGGCTCTACAACCTTTCCCCCTTGGGATTTTTAACGCAGAAATTCTCTAAGTAACCTAAATATTTTACTCCCCTGTTTTCTTTTTATTCCTAATGACAGAAACATTACAACAGGTCATGTAAACTATTAGTTAAGAAATTTACAACCATAAATCCAAATCTCCTTCAACCAAAATCAGGAAAATTTTCTTTTAAGAAATCATAAAGTTTGAAACAGCTCCCCTTCTTCTACTTTTTTTTTAAAAAAATAATCGTTTAAAGTGACAAAAGTATCACAACGGATCAAATGACAGTTAAAAAGGATTTCAATTAATCGATGAAAAGACTTTTAAAATCTTGCAATCGGTTGTAATATCATAGAGTATCGCCTCGCATAGCCATACCCTTTATGTGGGACTGCAGTCAGTCAACACTTCGAGGTTGGCACACGTTTAGGTTCCACCAAGACCTTACACAACACCATGCTATGTAACCTAGTTGAAATCAATTCATGTTCACATTAATAAGATAAAAAACTTTCTTCATATAATAGTATTCAAAACAAATTCGTTTCCCATGTAATTTGAAACATCAAAGTTGAGAAAGTTTTACTTTTAAAACCATCTTGAGTATGAAATTTTGAAGGAAATTCTCAAAAGCAACATACTGCAAGTAAAAACCAACATGAACAGAACACAGTAACTTAAAGGAACAACTTCCTAGCAGAAGATCAGGCCTACTTAGGGCATCAGCCTAAGAAAAGTTCTCCTTCCCACTCCATATTGCAAGGTTCTTTGCAAGAAAATCGCAAATTCAACTCTCTGGGTTTCGGATTCCCAAGAGGATCAGTGATCACTTCCGTATAGAAACTTTGCAATCACACCCTCGCATAAACGGTACCTAAATTCTTAGGAAGGGATCCATACCTATGTTTTCCATTATTTAAATTTCTACTACTAATCCTCATATTCCTTTTGTATGTCCCTATGTTCATTTCCCTGTGCTCTGATACCACCTCTAACAACCCCCAAATTCAAGGTCAAATTAAAACGAGCTTAAAACTCAAGGGCCGCTCGCCGAGTGATCTCTCGCTCAAAGCGTCTGTGGAGCAGAATTTATTAACTATTAAATTTACACGATAACTACACTCTTTGCAAGGAGTCAATATCAAAAAATATACATTAAACTACAATAAACAGAGGGATTTCATAAAAGAATTCAGAGAAAAATGTCCAATACAGCGAAACAAGCCTCTCAAAACAGTAGCTCAAACCATGTTTTTCTGACGGAGTTTCAGATTTTCAGCATCAACTTCAAACTCAATTTTTGAACAAACCCGAACTCATTTTAATAATCCGTAAAAACTCGTTTATAATACATTGAATGAAGAAGAGTTCTCCAAAAAGAAATTCTGAAAAAGAATCAAAGACCAAAGAGAAATAAGCATTTCAACAGAAGGGTTCTGTTCAGGTTTTCTGCATTTTTCAGCAGGGACAATGTCATCTTCAAATCGAGTTTCCGGGCAAACCACAACTCGGATTTGCATTCCGTAAAAACTGAATTAAACCATGTTAAATGAAGAAGATGTTCATATAAAGAAATCCTAAAAAGAAGCTAAGGAGCTGGGAGAAAAAGGGCTGACAACAGTGGGTTGCAGTTCTGATTTTTCTGCACTTTTTCAGCAATAACAGGTTGTGTTCATTTCAGATTTCCGGACAAATTAGAAGTTCGTTTCAGAATCCGTAAAAACCAAATCGAAGTACACTGAATGAAGAGCAGTTTCATAAAAAGAAAATTTGAAAAAAGTTCAAGACCTAGGAGATACAGGCCTGACAACAGAGGAACTGAAATCTGATTTTCCGCATGTCTGAAAATAAAACCAGTATTTTAAAAGATCCATCAGGATATTTCACAAACCATAAAAGTGGAACAAGCCTTGATAACTTGGGAAGAGTTCGGTTCAAAATATGAACAGAGAAAGAACTTAAACCAGGATTTTCCAACTCATGCACCCAATCACAACAACAAAAACAGTAACAGCATCCCTGCCATCACTTTTAGTTTTTTAGACTAATTCTGAAATCAAGTTAGCAAGACCTACAACCGCATCAGTAGTCAGTAAGATTGATACTTTAAACATGCACAACAATCAGAAGTGGCAACTCCCTTTCATAAGATCAAATCTCTCGGCCATAGGCCTTTCATTCCTAGATCTTTTCTATTATGATTAACAAGAAACAAATATATTATTAAACCACAGTAAACATGAAAGCATGCAAAGTACAAAGAAAAAAATCAACAAGGGTCAATATTCTTCAACCACAATCAATTCGAAGTCAAGCTCGCAACCAAATTCGAATTTCCAATTGTCACTATTAAACATCTTTTAATCCCACTGTTGAACCCAAGAGTGTAAACTAGTTCCCAGCTACGAGGATTAGGGTTAGATTCCAATACCTTAATCTCCTTTTTGGTTTAATCTCGAGCTCTCCTCCCCTCCTCTCCTGGTAGCCCTTTCTCGAGTCCTTTCTTTCCTAGCCCAATCGACTAAGTCCCGAGCTTCCTTTCTCTTGCTAGTTTGTTCATTTAAATAGCTATCTAACTTAGAGAAGGCTGGTGGTGTGTGCAAGGGGAGAATAAGAATTCGGCAGTAGGATGGTGGTGGCCGTGAAAGAGGAGGGAGAAGTGGGCTGTGGGAGAATTGTAGAAGATGAGGACGATGAATGGGCTTCGGAGTTTTTTTCTAGGGTAGGAAAAAATAATAATAAGTGTTGTAAAACTAGGGTCTATATATACTTATCCAATGCAAAGGTAACTAATAATTTATTTAGTGATGATATTTATTACTTCTCTCTTAGATACTATATTATTATAATTCCTTTAATAGTTTAAATATAATAACAGATCTTATCAGATTTAAAACGAAGAAAAATAAGAAAGCATAAGGAGTAGGAGGAAAGAAGGAGAGGAAGAGAAAAATTATCTTTTTTAGTGTGTCATTCTCTCTTCTCAAACTCATGTATTTATAGGAGAAAAATGTGGAGACAACATGACTCCATTTTTCTGAGCCTATATCATAGGCATTTAATCTTTTGGTCATTTACCTATATACAAAACTCCCCCTTAAATGACCAAATAAATTACACCTTTAACACTGCTTCGTTAAAAACCTTGCTAAATAAAAACCCAGTGGAAAAAAAAATTTAGTGAAGGGAAAAAGAGTGCAGTACGTAATTATCTCCCCTGATTATAACATCGGTAATTCTTCACAAGTTGTGTAAATGACGCATTCTGATGTTATGAACATGTTTTCTGAAAAATACTGTAGGAAGTGACTTTGTAAAAAGATCAGCTGAATTCTCACTGGAAGTAATATATTGAATATCAATATCATTATTCTTCATGAGCTCTTTGGTATACGCAAAGAATTTTGGAGGTATATGCTTGGTCCGATCATCCTTGATATATCCTTCCTCCAGTTGATGAATACAAGCTGCATTATCTTTATATAGAATGGTTGGATTTTTCTTGACTGGAAGACCACAAGACGTCTTGATGTGTTGTGTCATTGACCTGAACCATACACTTTCTCTACTTGCTTCATGTAATGCAATAATTTCTGCATGATTCGAAAAAGTAGATACTGTTTTTTGTTTCTGGGAACGCTAAGAAATTACAGTTCCTCTACATGTGAACACATAACCAGTCTGAGATTTTCCATAGTGATGATCAGATAAATACCCTGCATTCGCATAACCAACTAACTCTTGTTTCGAATTGTTAGAGTAAAACAAACCCAAATTAGTATTTCCTCGAAGATAACGAAATATATGCTTGATTCTGTTCCAGTGTCTTTTGGTAGGGGATGAGCTATGTCTTGCTAGGAAATTAACTGCAAAAGAAATATCAGGTCTAGTATAGTTAGCAAGATACATAAGAGCTCCAATTGCACTCAAATATGGTACCTCAGGACGAAGAATTTCTTCATCATCTTTAACTGGACAAAATGGATCCTTTTCATCATTTAGTGTTCTGACAACCATTGGAGTACTTAAAGAATTTGCTTTATCCATGTTAAAGCGTTTTAAGATCTTTTATGTATAATTTGATTGATGCACAAATATTCCATTATGCGTATGTTCAATTTGTAAACCAAGACAATACTTAGTTTTTCCAAGATATTTCATTTCAAATTCTTTCTTTAAGTACGCAACAACTTCATCAATTTCTCTATATGTTCCAATGATGTTCAAATCATCAACATAGATAGCTATGATAACAAATCCAAATGTTATTTTCTTAATAAAAACGCATGGACAAATAACATTATTGACATATCCCTTATTTATCAAATAATCGCTTAAACGATTATACCACATGCGTCCAGATTGCTTTAACCCATATAACGCGATCTTTGGAGTTTGATCGAATACATTTCTTTGGGTTTTGAACTTGAAGTTTCTGGCATCTTAAATCCTTCTGGGATTTTCATATAAATATCAATATCAAGTGACCTATATATATAAGCTGTAACAACATCCAAGATACATTTCTAATTTGTTAGAAACTGCAAGACTGATTAAAAACCTGAATGTAATTGCATCCATAACAGGAAAATATGTTTCCTCATAATCAATTCCAGGTCTTTGAGAAAAACCTTGGGCTACAAGTCTAGCCTTATATCTTGTAATCTCATTTTTCTCATTTCGTTTTCGTACAAAAACTCATTTGTATCCTACAGGCTTTACGTTTTCAGGAGTGAGGATAATAGGTCTGAAAACTTTTTGCTTGTTAAGCGAATTCAATTCAGTTTGCATAGCATCTTTCCATTTTAACCAGTCATGTCTATTTTGACATTCTTTAACTGATTTTGGTTCAGGATCATCATTTCCATCCATAATTTCACATGCTACAGTATAAGAGAAAATCTCATCATTTCTTCGATTTCATCTCTATTCCACACTATCCCCGTATTGTTATAATTGATTGAGATTTCTTTATTCATCTCCTTTTTCTCTTCTTGGGGAATTTCTTTGCTCTGTGTTCCTTCAGAAATAATTTCTTTTGTATTGCCTTTATTTTCTGTTCCCTTTTTAGTTCGGGGATTTTTATCTTTTGAACCAGTCGGTCTTCCACGCTTCAAACGTGGTTTAGACTCTTGAGAGATTTTATCCTCAATTTTTAGCTTTGGGATTTCAATTCGAGCCGGAGCATTAGCTGCTGGTATATGTAATTTAGTCACTCCTTTTGAATCCAAAAAAGCATCTGGCAATTGATTCGCAATCGCTTGTAAATGTACAATCTTTTGTACTTCTGCTTCGTATTGCTTTGTGCGAGGATCAAGAAACAATAATGATGGTTCATTCCATGCAATATTCTTAATTACTTCTTTTCTTTCTCCCCATAATGTTGGGAAAATAGTTTCATTAAACTGGCAGTCAGCAAAACGTGTTGTGAAAACATCGCCAGTCAAAGGCTCAAGATACTTAATAATAGAGGGTGATTCAAACCCAACATATATTCCCAATCTTCTTTGAGGACCCATTTTTGTACGCTGTGGTGGTGCAATGGGTACATATACAGCACAACCAAATACTCTAAGATATGAAACGTTTGGTTCACATCCAAATGCCAATTGCAATGGGGAGAATTTGTGATCCGCACTAAGTGTTATACGAATCAATAAAGCAGCATGTAATATTGCATGACCTCAAACTGAAACAGGTAGCTTTGTTCTTATAATTAATGGTCTAGCAATTAACTATAGTCTTTTAATCAATGATTCTGCCAAACCGTTTTGTGTATGTACATGAGCAACAGGATGCTCAACAATAATTCCAGTAGACATACAGTAATCATTAAATGCCTGAGACGTGAATTCACCAGCATTGTCAAGTCTAACCCTTTTGATTGGATGATCAGAGAATTGAGCTCGTAATTTAATAATTTGTGCAAGAAATTTTGCAAAGGCAACATTACGAGTTGACAATAAACATACATGAGGCCATCTGCTAGATGCGTCTATTAGAACCATGAAATATCTGAATGGTCCACTTGGTGAATGTATCGGTCCACATATATCACCTTGAATCCTTTCAATATTTTGTATCTTTAGCAGTGAAGGTCTCAATATTAATTTTCTAAGAGAACAAGCTGTACATGACAGTTCATCACTTTGAGGGATCCTTTGTCCCTTTAACGAATGTCCATGAGTATTTTCAACAATCCTTCGCATCATTATTGAACCTGGATGGCCAAGCCTTTCATGTCATAAATTTAACATTAAATGATCGAAGGATTTTGATCTCATTGTTATGTTTGATTCAATGTATGTATAATGCAAACCATTAGCAAATGGTAGTCTTTCAAGTGTTTGAATCTTTCCAGACTCATATCTGATGATTTTCAAATATTTTACACCATCTATAGTCATAGATTGTGTATCATACCCATTTCGGTATATATTATCAAAACTCAACAAATTTCTCCTGGAATTTGGAGAAAACAAAGCTTCTTCAATTTCAAACTTTGTTCCTCTTGGCAATGTAATTTTGGCTTTACCAATTCCTTCAATCAGATCTACAGGACCTAATATTGTATAAACCATTGCCTTTGTGGGTTTTATTTCAGAGAAATATTCTCTATTTCTCAAGATAGTGTGCGTGGTACCACTATCTGGTATACAAAAATTTCCAACGCTGCTTTTACGTTGAGTTTCACTGAAATCCATGTCAAACTTCAAAAGAAAGTTAAATAATCAAAATTTAATAATACATGATAAGATAACAAGTTTGTTGAAGAAAATAAAATTCATTAAAATAATACTAATTGACAATACAACACTATTATAGAACCTCATTTAATATAATTATTTATTTAGTGCTTCAGTTCTTAACATACAATAGAAACATTCAAATACATTTTGATAGTTTCAAAATTCAGCAAATTCACTTGCAAAATCTGAAGCATTCAGCTGAGTTTGACCATTATCCTCCATTTGATCAATATGCTCATTGAAATTTACTTCTTTTCCTTTACCCTTTGATGCGGCATAAAGCTCACAAAGGTGTTTTGGAGTTCTATAGACTTTTGCAAAATGACCTTCAGTACCACACCTGTAACATGCATCTTCAGCATTCTTTTGAGGTTTTTCTGGAGCATCATTCTTGGTCATTTTAATTTTCTTTTGAGGTTGAGCCATTTGTTCATACGAGGCATTACCATGATTATAGCCATACGGGGCATTACCATGATTATGGCCAGAAAATTATTTTCCTCCATGGTCATTAGCCTCCATGGCCACCATAGCCTCCACGACCTCCACGGCCACCAAAGGCTGCCACGGTTGTGATCACCACGACCACGACCTCGGCCTCGGCCACGTCCATGGCCATAAAAATTTCCAGAGTATCCTGAATTTATGGCGTTTACCTCAGGATATGCCATCGAGCCAGTAGGTGGAGACTGGTGATTCTTTATCAAAAGTCTATTGGCATTTTCTTCTTGCAAAAGTGTCGTTGACAAATCAGAATAATGCTCGTATCATCAATTTATGAGCATTTTAAAATTGACAGAGTTTTATCTATCATTTCTTTGTCAGTCTTATGATGTCCACAAAATTTTAATTGTGACACAATCCTGAACAGTGCTGAATTATATTCATCCACACTTTTAAAATCTTGGAATCGTAATGAATTCCATTCATCAATAGCATTTGGCAATATAACTGCCCTTTTATTATCAA